GTGCCGACCGTGTCGAACGAGGCGGCGGCGACCAAGTTCCCAAAGGGCTTTGAGGTGCAGTCGCTGCCGTCGGGCAAGGGTTACCTCCGCTTCACACCGGATCCGTCGCCGTAAATGTCATTGTACGGCAACGAAGCTACGACCGCGTCATGTGTAGTAATTGCAAGCGCCAACGTATTTTGGACACGTATTGTCGTTTCTTAGATTCTTAGTCGCACTAGCTCCAACTGCAGTTGCTGGTGGCAACGACCTGTATGCAGCGGCTCGGATTTACCGCTGCTTAGAGGCGCGGCACGGATACTGCGTGCTGGCGTCAAGACTCATGTTCGCCTCCGTTTTGCGAAGGCAATGAAGGGGGGCCTCACCGTAATGGGCTCGTGACACTATATATATATGAACGTGTTCCGCGTTATCTTCGGTGTTACAAAGACTTGGCATACGTAGAGACTATCTCCTTCACTCACTCACGGACCGAGACTGCGCAGGCGGCGGCGCGGGGGCTCGTCTGGCTCTTCTGTAGTCGCCCTACGACGCTTGTGGCCGCGAGTGAGGCATTTGACTCCTTCTTCCATCGCCGGCAGCTGCGTCGTCTGCTCGGGATCTTTCACCCGAACACGATTGCCGACGTCGCCTGCCAGTGCTCGCGCCTTCTGGGCCACAGCTGCGGCTGGGTCGCGACGTCCCAGCCAACGTGGCTGCTGACCGCTTCTTCGTGGCATTTATGGTACAACTAAAAGTGAATACGAGTCTTGTGCCCTTCGTGTTGGCCCTCAGCAACTGTTTCGCTTGACGTAGAAAAAGCCTGCGCTGGGCGACGCAAACCACCGGTCGAGTCTAGAGCCTACCACAAGTCAAAGCCAGCGCCTAGCGTCGCGTGCACGTTTGCCCATGGCGAAACCGCGCGAAGCGTTACGGGGCCAATACGCAGTTACCGAATCATCCGGATAATCGCACCAGGTCATGCAATCGACCGCAGAATTCATTGCCAATTGCCATGGCCAACACGACCAACGTCCGCGGTATCAC